TTGCCATATAATAGATCATATTTGGGTCCTTTTCCCGTTGTCACTTTTAAAGCCCCCCCCCCCCCACACACACATCCAGTTCTGCACGAATAATGGGTCGTGTGAAACTACATACAGTGAGGGAAAAAACTATTTGATCACCTGCTAATTTTGTACGTTTGCCCACTGACAAAGACATGATCAGTCTATAATTTTAATGGTAGGTTTATTTGAACAGTGAGAGACAGAATAACAACAACAAAATCCAGAAAAACGCATTTAAATTGATTTGCATTTTAATGAGGGAAATAAGTATTTGACCCCTCTGCAAAACATGACTTAGTACTTGGTGGCAAAACCCTTGTTGGCAATCACAGAGGTCAGTCGTTTCTTGTAGTTGGCCACCAGGTTTGCACACATCTCAGGAGGGATTTTGTCCCACTCCTCTTAGCCGATCTTCTCCAAGTCATTAAGGTTTCGAGGCTGACGTTTGTCAACTCGAACCTTCAGCTCCCTCCACAGATTTTCTATGGGATTAAGGTCTGGAGACTGGCTAGGCCACTCCAGGACCTTAATATGCTTCTTCTTGAGCCACTCCTTTGTTGCCTTGGCCGTGTGTTTTGGGTCATTGTCATGCTGGAATAACCATCCACGACCCATTTTCAATGCCCTGGCTGAGGGAAGGAGGTTCTCACCCAAGATTTGACGGTACATGGCGTCATCCATCGTCCCTTTGATGCGGTGAAGTTGTACTGTCCCCTTAGCAGAAAAACATCCCCAAAGCATAATGTTTCCACCTCCATGTTTGACGGTGGGGATGGTGTTCTTGGGGTCATAGGCAGCATTCCTCCTCCAAACACGGCGAGTTGAGTTGATGCCAAAGAGCTCGATTTTGGTCTCATCTGACCACAACACTTTCACCCAGTTCTCCTCTGAATCATTCAGATGTTCATTGGCAAACTTCAGACGGGCCTGTATATGTACTTTCTTGAGCAGGGGGACCTTGCGGGCGCTGCAGGATTTCAGTCCTTCACAGCGTAGTGTGTTACCAATTGTTTTCTTGGTGACTATGGTCCTAGCTGCCTTGAGATCATTGGCAAGATCCTCCCGTGTAGTTCTGGGCTGATTCCTCACCGTTGTCATGATCATTGCAACTCCATGAGGTGAGATCTTGCATGGAGCCCCAGGCCGAGGGAGATTGACAGTTATTTTGTGTTTCTTCCATTTGCGAATAATCGCACCAACTGTTGTCACCTTCTCACCAAGCTGCTTGGCGATGGTCTTGTAGCCCATTCCTGCCTTGTGTAGGTCTACAATCTTGTCCCTGACATCCTTGGAGAGCTCTTTGGTCTTGGCCATGGTGGAGAGTTTGGAATCTGATTGATTGATTGCTTCTGTGGACAGGTGTCTTTTTATACAGGTAACAAGCTGAGATTAGGAGCACTCCCTTTAAGAGTGTTCTCCTAATCTCAGCTCGTTACCTGTATGAACGACACCTGGGAGCCAGAAATCTTTCTGATTGAGAGGGGGTCAAATACTTATTTCCCTCATTAAAATGCAAATCAATTTATAACATTTTTGACATGTGTTTTTCTGGATTTTTTTGTTGTTATTCTGTCTCCCACTGTTCAAATAAACCTACAATTAAAATTATAGACTGATCATTTCTTTGTCAGTGGGCAAACGTACAAAATCAGCAGGGGATCAAATACTTTTTTTCCCCTCACTGTATGTTCCTCCGTCAGAAGTTTCTGAAAGTTTCCTAACTTTGTTGATGTAGTTTCCCATGCATACTTCTTAGTCACTTTATGACCCTCCTCAAACTGATTTGTTTTGCATATGGTGTGTGAAGGCATTAGGTAATGTTAGAGCGATTATTTCTGTTCATGACTAAGTGATGGGCCTTCCAGTCCTCATTTCCATACACTGATCTGAAAACAATTAAACAATATCATGTCAGTGCAGACAAATGAGGAAACAAGCATAATGGACTGAAATTCACTTCACTTCAAAACATTACTCCATATGAGACAGACGTAGACAAAGAGCATATGATTTTATGAATACTTTATTACCTCACCTTCTGTAAGAATTTACACTCTCTTATTAAACAGATTAAGTCGCTACAAGTTACATTAAAATCATTATGTACAATGATATTAACAGACAAAATAAGAACCCTCCTTAAAAATTGCTCATTGCAGAGCCTGCTCTACATAGCTGAATTTATACAGCCTAACAATAGTTAGTTTTTCCCTCAAATGACCTCCACCATCATGGTCACTCCATCATAAGGCTTCATACATATTTGTCTACATTAAAAGCATATGACAGTACAAATTGTCCTTTCAAATGAGACAGTTGCGTGTGGTAAGTAGTGTGATGTTAACCTATAGGCTACTATGACTCACTTATACTGTGCAATCTAGGGACAATGGTGGTGCACATGAAACAGCATCAAACTGGAGAACCTACACAATAGCGTGTAACGAATACACTCCATACACATCTGTTAAAAAAGGTGCCTCTCTCTTGGAAATTATTGGCTATCCAAACAGGAAGACACATGATTGGGTTTTACAGTTAAATGATATGCCGACTCATTGTCAGGCTCTTTTTGGTCACTACTCACTAGAAAGCCAACAGTGCACCCTCATATAAAGATATAGCCTACCAGGAGGGTGGTGTCAAACTTCATCCATAAGTCAGTTAGGGCTTATGTGTAGTTAACATTCATGCAACACCTCCAATTCATGTGATAACGTTGTTGCTTGGTACGTAGCTTTACCAAAGGATTTCATCCTAACTCCAACAAACTATTAAAGCTCTGTGGAATAGAATGATAAGTCTAGGGATGCGTCTCAAATGGCCCCATATTCTCTACATAATGCATTACTTTTGACCAGATCTCTATAACCCTAACCCTAAATGGGTGCCATTTGGGATGCAATCTAGCTTTATAAAATAAGGCTGTTGTGTAATAGAGAATGTCGATGTGAGCAAATGATGAATAACATAGCCCATGGGGAAATCATAAGATAACTCATTTCGGTAAAGTTCAGAAATGGCAATGTGCTTTATAATCCTAATATTTAATCAAACCTTGGAAAATATGACTAGGTCAAAGTATTTTCTGTGAAACTTAATGGACAGTAAATACAGCAGTGCACTTGTGTTAGAGCACAAGTTCAACAAATATAGGAGCGGTTGCCATCTTGTGTTCAATAGAAGAACTGCAATACACATATCAATGAGCGTTCGCTGATGTCAGATAAGTAGTCTACTTTACAACAGCACAAAGTGAAAAATCATGATTCAATAGCATTTTCTTGGTTGAAAACAAAAAAGGAATGTTAAAAATGTACAACATGGGAATCTGTAAGAACGTACGCCATAAAATACTGTCTGTAGGACACATGTTTTAACTATTAAATTCTAAAGTTGAGATTTGTTTCATTAATCTCTGATCTAGTGTCCTTCCAGTGACCGTTACCTTTCGAAATAAACAGCGTAAAAGCAACAAAAAGTCGAAGTAAACAATTCATTCACACGGTCACCAATTTTTAGTACCTTTTGAAAGACTGCCTCTGCTTTCAGTACCATTATTTTAGTCCTGCAGTCTAGTCAGCCTCCCAGAGCTGTTTATTTCAACTCCTACAAAAACATTTTCCTCCCGTTCCTATAACATAAAGATGAACAACGCACAGATTTGTATGGACGTGGGCGCTACCTGAAAAAGCGGAATGACAATAATTACAGATTTTAAAAAAGACAGCATTTCTTTTTTTTACAATAGCCGTCTCAAGAGTGTCATGATTGAGTGAACTATGTGTGCGTGTGTCTGCATGTGTGTGTGTGTGAAATACATTATTTGTACTTATGATTTGGACGGATATGGAACGAAGCTAGTGTTATAACATAAAGAGAGTCAGGGGGAGAGCGCAATCTGGTTTACCATAGCAGACAAACCGTGATCACATGAAACAAGTTTCAATGAGATAAGAGGATAGCTTGAGTATTTAGTTGAGTAAAAGGAGGAAGAGAGTGCTGATAATTGATGAGACTCAAGACCCTAAAGAAAACGACCCTATCCAACTGTATTAATTGGTGACGATTTTTCTGCTGTGAAAAATTGTGTTGTCTTGAATGGGGGGAAATCCAACCCGAATTCTGGCAATTGTGCACAAGAGAGAGGGAGGTACATACAAGTAATGCCCAACATATATCTTCAATTATATAAAACAATGGCGTCAGTGGGCGGGGCGTGTAAACCAAGACAGTTCGCCCTTGCACGCACGCACATTTAAAGAGAGGGAGATGGACAGACATACAACCTCTAATTACGCAACGACACAAGCACAAGGAATGGAAGTATCTTTTTCAATTTCATCCACTCAGTGTTTCCCATTGTGAAACGGCTTCACATCATGCCATCAAGCAAAATAGTGACCGGTGAGTCCTTTCCATCTAGCTTCCCCTATAACCACCATTTTGATACATATTACACAATTTCTTTCATTCATTCATATGAGACTACAGAGTGTTGACTTCAGCACGTTTCCATTGGCACATCATGTAATGTCCGGATAATGTCCAGATAGCGTCCGGATAACATCCAGATATCCCAAGCCCCTTCTTATAATTCTCCTACTTCCACAGAGAGTTCTAGAAGAGAGGCAGATGCAGATGCCACAACGTGGTCCAACTCAGGGCTGAAGGTTGAATGGGTGGGACATACAAACAAAGGCACCTGGTCCGTGTGTGTGTCTCCCCTGCCCTTTCCCTCCTGTTTTGTCCACAGTGGAGAGTGAGAGAAGGGTTTGTGTCCACCACCACCACCAAAGGGGGTGTTTGTGTGTAAACACCAGTCACCCATTGGCCCTTAATGTGGAAAAGGGGCGGGGCTTTTTGCTCCCCCCTCTGCATTTCCCTCCCCCACTCTAGTGGGTAACCTCACAGTGTGAGGTTACCCACTAATGTGGTCCCCCTCGCCGGCGTGGTCTCGGTCGGTGGTTCTGCTGTCACAAGTCGGTGACTTTGTTCTCCACGGCTGCAGCGACCTGCTGGAGCCGGTAGCCCAGTTGCATCTTCTGGGCCATGCTGTCCTCCTCTAGGGCCCCGATGATCTGAGAGCGGGAGGGATGGAGAGAGAGAGAGAGAGAGAGAGAGAGAAAGGGATGAAGATAGATGGAGAATGGTGGAGTGTGATTGAGAATGGTGGAGTGATAGACAGAGAGATGGAGAGAGAGAGGGGGTGGAGTGAGAGACCGAGAGAGAAAGATGGAGGGAGAGAGGGAGGGATGGGTTGGAGTGAGACAGATAGAGAGAGAGGGAGTGAGACAGAGAAAGGGATGGAGAGAATGAAAGAGGGGGTAGAATGAGAGAGAGGGATGGAGTGAGAGAGGGACAGAGAGAGGGAGAGAGGGAACCAGAAAACAAATCCAGTTTAGAGCAGGTGCAAGGTAAACCAAAGACAACTCTGATTCGTTATTCCATCCAACCAGACAAGCGACTGAATGAAAACTCACCTGGTCATAGTATTTGTTGATGTACTTGTACAACTCGTGCAGGGCAACAAGGTAATTCAACTCTCCTGAGTAATTCTGGGAAGAAAAAAACACATTTCCTAGTCATTACAAATAAATAATAAGCTTAATTGAAAATGTGCTAATATAGGTTAAATTAACAATAGGACAAAGAACAGATGAAAGGGATAGTTCACTCAAACTTTGTTCTTTGGTATTTGTTCCAAAATAAAACATGGAAAAAAATGTCAGCAGTCAAGTTTTCAAGATGGAGCACTTTCAGTACAGAGCAAAAACTGTGATGATGGGAAGACCACTTTTGCGAATATCACTTTTGGGGGAACTATCCCTTTAAAGGAACAATACAGTGTTTACTGAACGAATAAACTGAAGAAAAAGACCCACCCTGGAAAGTTCTGCTAGAGCTGAGTTCATCTCCTGGTCACTGGCAGAGATGGTCTGTCTGATGTCAGCGTAGTACCTTTCCACCATCTGCTTGTAACGGGGGATGTCTCGGGCATACAGCAGTTTGTTGATTGGTGAATCCTGGAGAGAGAGACGGAGGGAAGGAGAGAGATAACCAGTTATAAAGAATCACATCCTCCACCTTCCATCGTCTCCCATGGCCAAGTCAATACTTCCGACACCCCCCTTGGTCCCATCCCTCCCTATCAGTCTCTCTCCCTCTCTAACCCTGCCCAGCTTGTGCTCAGCAGTGGTGCAGGAGTCCATGAAGGTCTGGGAGATGACCGTCAGCACGGCGTCCACGTGGTCCGAGGGCTGGACGTCAAAGATGAACTGGGGGTTCTTCACAATGTTGATCCAGAACCTCAGGGGCAAACTGGAGGCAGGGAGGGAGGGAAACAGCGTTACAGAACTGTTATTGTCATGTTCACATGCTACATATATATTTGTTTATTTGGATCCCCATGATCTTTAACAGAAGCAGCAGCTACTCTATACAACGATATACAAACAATACAACGAAAAATTGTATGTTAGTGTGTCTGTGTTTGTTTGTGTCCCCTCACAGTCCCCACCGTTCCATAAGACGTTTAATCCGTTTTTTTTGCAGTTTGCTTGAGTAATTGGAGATGGGAGTTCAATGCGATCATGGCTCTGTGTAATACTGTGCGTTGCCGTGAATTCGTTTTGGGGACTGTGACGAGACCCCTGGTGGCATGTCTTGTGGGGTATGTATGGCTGTCTGAGCTGAATGTTATGCAGACAATCTGGAATTGTCATTACAGTAATATATCTCATAAAAACTAGGAGAAGCAGTTAGTATCTCGACAACCCTCAACCGGGAAATACTGGCATGCATGTTGTTGATGTTCGTTCTGTATGTGCAGTTAAGGGCAAAGCGTGCTGCTCTGTTTTGAACCAGCTGCAGCTTTGCTAGGTCTTGATTTGCTGCACTTGACCATATTACCGGACAGTAATCAAGATGGGACAAGACCAGAGCCTGAACAACTAGTACAGTTGATTTTTGTGTAAAAAACGCAGAACATATTTTTTTTACAGACATATGCCTCCCCATCTTCACAACAACTTTGTCAATATGACTTGACCATGATAATTGACCATCCAATATTATACCTAGGAGTTTAGCTTCCTCAACTTGTTCAATGGTCACACCCTTTAGGCACAACTCCAGTTGAGGTTTAGGTCTTAGAGAATGGTTTGAACCAAATACAATGCATTTAGTTTTAGATGTATTTAAGACCCGTTTATTATTAATCACCCATTCTGATACTGACTGTAACTCCTTATTTAGAATTTCAGTGAGCTCACTGGCTTTGGGTCATCCACATACATGATCATTCTAGCGTTGTGTAAGACCAGTGGCAAATCATTTGTAAAAATAGAGAAGAGTGATGGCCCAAGGCAACTGCCCTGAGGCACTGTATATTTATAATGTTAGAGAAGCTTCCATTGAAGAACACTCTCTGGGTTCTATTGGTCAAATACAATTCTCTCCATCAGTTTACTAAGAACAGGCAGCAATCTGATTCGGGCTGTTAGATACATATCATATCACCAGACCACATACAAACATACACACACACACACACTCACAAAGATTCACAAAGACAAACATGTTGATCTTCCAGATGTGAACGGCATCGGGATAAGTGTGTGTGTATATGTGTGTGATTGAATCTATGTTCATACTTGTTATGTGTGTAGGCACTTGTGTGTGCCATGCGTCTGCATCAGTGTGTGTGTGTGTGTGTGTGTGTGTACCTGTTGGTCTTCCAGATGTGGATGGTCTCAGGGTCAGTGATGGCGTGGTGTTGCGCCTGGTCATCCAGCAGGTCAAAGAAGTACTTGACTGCCAGCGGAACGGGACGACTGGTGGACAGGATCACCGTGAACAGATCGTCTACAAACTTCTGCAGAGTTCCCTGTGGAGGGAGGGTGGAAGATGGGGAAAAGGTTAGGGTTTGAAAGTGGGTGGAAGGGTGTGTGTGTCTCTACAGTATCTGACTCTTCACTTGATTCTTAGTGTGTATGTGTACATGCAATGCGTGTGTGACTGTGTGCATCCAGTATCTACCTTCATAGAGAGCAGGCGTGTGAGGTAGATCTCTGGTATAGCCTTGGCCCTCTCCCTCTCCCTCACGCTGCCCCGGCGGTGCTTGGGTAGCTCGGGCTCATCACTGGCCTTGACCAGGTGCCACAGCCTCACCCCGCCCTCGTCCGCATCCTCCAGCATGGGCGTCTCTGAACGAGGGAGGGGGAGGGGGAGAAAAGAAAGGAGAAGGGTTGAGAAAGAATATAAAAAAAACTAAATGTTTATCTGGTATCTTTTATTCCATGTCCACAAAAGTGAACATTGGAGTCAACGTTTCAGCCTAGTGGCCTTTCACAAGATGAGATACATTTATACTTATTCTACAAAAACGTAGGTGGAAGAAACTGGTCATATAGCTACAGTGCCTTGCGAAAGTATTCATCCCCCTTGGCGTTTTTCCTATTTTGTTGCATTACAACCTGTAATTTAAATGGATTTTTATTTGGATTTCATGTAATGGACATACACAAAATAGTCCAAATTGGTGAAGTGAAATGAAAAAAATTACTTGTTTCAAAAAACTAAATAACAGAAAAGTGGTGCGTGCATATGTATTCACCCCCTTTGCTATGAGGCCCCTAAATAAGATCTGGTGCAACCAATTACCTTCAGAAGTCACATAATTAGTTAAATAAAGTCCACCTGTGTGCAATCTAAGTGTCACATGATCTGTCACATGATCTCAGTATATATACACACCTGTTCTGAAAGGCCCCAGAGTCTGCAACACCACTAAGCAAGGGGGCACCAACAAGCAAGCGGCACCATGAAGACCAAGGAGCTCTCCAAACAGGTCAAGAACAAAGTTGTGGAGAAGTACAGATCAGGCTTGGGTTATAAAAAAATATCTGAAACTTTGAACATCCCAGGAGCACCATTCAATCCATTAATAAAAAAATGGAAAGAATATGGCACCACAACAAACCTGCCAAGAGAGGGTTGCCCGCCAAAACTCACGGACCAGACGAGGGCATTAATCAGAGAGGCAACAAAGAGACCAAAAATAACCCTGAAGGAGGGTTATGTATGGCTTAAAGTGGTCCTATCTGTCCATAGGACCACTTTAAGCCATACACTCCACAGAGATGGGCTTTACGGAAGAGTGGCCATAAAAAAGCAATTGCTTAAAGAACAAAATAAGCAAACACGTTTGGTGTTGGCCAAAAGGCATGTGGGAGACTCCCCAAACATATGGAAGAAGGTACTCTGGTCAGATGAGACTAAAATTGAGCTTTTTGGCCATCAAGGAAAACGTTATGTCTGGCACAAACCCAACACCTCTCATCACCCCGAAAACACCATCCCCACAGTGAAGCATGGTGATGGCAGCATCATGCTGTGGGGATGTTTTTCATCGGCAGGGACTGGGAAACTGGTCAGAATTGAAGGAATGATGGATGGCGCTAAATACAGGGAAATGCTTGAGGGAAACCTGTTTCAGTCTTCCAGAGATTTGAGACTGGGACGGAGGTTCACCTTCCAGCTGGACAATGACCCTAATCATACTGCTAAAACAACACTCGAGTGGTTTAAGGGGAAACATTTAAATGTCTTGGAATGGCCTAGTCAAAGCCCAGACCTCAATCCAATTGAGAATATGTGGTATGACTTAAAGATTGCTGTACACCAGCAGAACCCATCCAACTTGAAGGAGCTGGAGCAGTTTTGCCTTGAAGAATGGGCAGAAATCCCAGTGGCTAGATGTGCCAAGCTTATAGAGACATACCAAGAGACTTGCAGCTGTAATTGCTGCAAAAAGTGGCTCTACAAATATTGACTTTGGGGGGGGGGGGGGGGGGTGAATAGTTATGCACGCTCAAGTTGTCTGTTTTTCTGTCTTATTACTTGTTTGTTTCACAAGAAAAAATATTTTGCATCTTCAAAGTGGTAGGCATGTTGTGTAAATCAAATGATACAAACCCCCAAAAAATCCATTTGAATTCCAGGTTGTAAGGCAACAAAATAAGAAAAATGCCAAGGGGGGTGAATACTTTCGCAAGCCACTATAGTTTGGCTGCGCACTATAGAGGAACAACAAGACATTTCCCAGAGAGAGAGAGAGAGAGGAACTAAAATGCAACTCGAACTCACTTTCCCCTGCTACGTAGTCATGATTGTCGTGGTGGATGTGTTTGCTGTGGCGCGGGACCAAAGCCACTGTTGCGCCGTCTGGAACCTGACACACAAAAATAACAACAACAACTGTTATAAATCTCTCAAATGGTTAGTGGATGCACTATGAAGGCTTATGAAGGCTTATGAAGGGTTAATGAAGTGACACACCTTTAAGTAAAGGCTTAGAAACGTGAATGTTTAAATCTTAAAGCTTTTATGAATGCTTTATAAAGGCTCTATAAATACTTTACGGAGTGTTATAAACTATTTATGAAGCGTTAGGAAGGCTCTATGAATGTGTGGGTGCAGACCTTGTAGTGTTGTAGTGTATTGAGGCGCTTCCAGTTGCCCTGGACAACAGATGTCAGGTCTTCATCAGACAGGATCAAATGACCAGCTACACCGGACCTCCACTCTGAAACAACACACACACAATGTTAGACAGGGCTATAGACAGAATTAAATAGAACACTATATTATAGAACACTAAAATTATATTAAAAGAGAGAGATCGAAAAGAGGCTGTGTGTGTGCATCTGCGTGAATGTGTGTGCGTGCGCATCTTTGTTTGTGTGTGTGTGTGTCTGCAGTGTGTGTATCTACGTGCACATCTTTCTGTGTGTGTGTGCTTCTCACCCAGGTCCAGGGAGTCTGTGTGTGGCCGGTGGGAGAAGGAGGTGCCCTTGTAGACCTGGTCCAGGAGTTTCTCCTTCACCTGGGTGATGGTGTCTATGTCCAGCACCTTGGAGGGCAGCGGCTGGGTCTCGTTCACCCCCCCACCCTGCATCAACACGTTCAGGGTCTGGGAGAGTGTGAGGAAAGAGAGAGAGGATGAGCTTTCAAATCACTCACAAAGCACACTTTCTTGGAAGTATATTTTTCAAATTTTTAAATCAGTCTTAGGATAATCTATTTATCTATCTCTGGTTTTTCACTGGAAAAAAATAACTGTGTGTGTGTGGTTAGATTGAGTGCACGTGTGTGAGTGTGTGTCTGAACCCTTGAATGCATGTGTGTGTGTCTGAACATCTGAATGTGTTTGTGTCTTTGTGTGTCTGTGTGAGTGTGTGTCTGAACCCCTGAGTGTGAGCATCCTCACCAGGGTCTTGTACTCCACGTCCTCTCGGAGCAGGCGATTGTCGTTGAGCGTGTACTTTGCTTTTCCCGTCACCGCATCCACTGGCCCCTTGTCCACCTGGTGCTTGATAGCCCTGAACAACATGTACAGGGACTCGCCTGCAGAGTCCTAGGGAGAAACAACAACAGTTAGCATCATGCTAGCGAAACAGGTAAACAATTAGCATCAGGCTAAGAAATCAGGTAAACCATGCTAACGATCAGGTAAACAATTAGCATCATGCTAATAATCACTGTCCTGGGAAAGATGAGGACACGACATTTACCAACATACAGTAATTACCTTTACGCTAATAAATGCTAATGCTACAAGGCATTTTGACCCAGGTAAGATATAGATCGCCAAGTATGCTTCAAACTGGCATGGAAGACATAGTTAAGATTCCCACCCCTGGAATAAAGCCTAGGCCCCGTTCAAATTATTTGAAAGTGCATCCTTCCTTCCTCCTTTCCATGGAGTAATCACTGATTAGAAATGAGCCGTTTTATTTCTGTCCAATTGTGTCTCATCTATGATTACTTCAAGGAAGGGAGGAAGATGATGCACAACAATGCACTTCTAAAGAATGGGGCCATAATGTCTGTCCAATTGGCTGTGTTTACGCAGGCAGCCCAATTCTGATCTTTTGCCCAATTATTGGCAAAAAGATCTGATATAAAACCAATTGGTGGCAAAAAAAAAAAATCAGAATTGGGCTGCCTGTGGAATGGGGCCATCATTTCCTCCTCTTTGTGTGGCAGTAATTCAATTCATGTGGGCCGACTCACCCTGAGGAACGCGTAGAGGCAGATGGACATCCAGTTGGTCAGAAGCTTCTCCACCACTGTCTCCGTTCTTCAAAATGACAACATGTTAAAAATCAGTTACAGGTCGATGGAGCACAATCCCACCCCACCCCGACACACAATCCCACCCCACCCCCTGACCCACATACCCCCACCCCCCCCCACCCCCTGACCCACACACCCCCACTCTCCATCTTTTCCTATCTTACCTCCGCAGCATGAGTTTGGGGTTCTTGGCCACATACTGCTCCACTAGATCGTTGAGGAGGGTCTTGAGGATGTCGGTGAAGTACTCCAGTTTACCATGCAGTGCCACTGTCAGGAGAGATGCCACGTAGGCCCGGTCCCGAGGCGAGAACGTCCGCTGGCTCTCCAGAGTATGGATGAACTGGGAGGGAGGGATGGAGGAAGAGGAGAGAGAGGAACGACAGAGTTAGAAAAAAAGAAAAAGGGATCGAGAGACCGCCAAATATCAACCATGAATACTCTCCCATAACATTTCAACAAGAAGAGGCTGGTGTATTCAGGAAGAAGAGGATGGTTCTCTTCTGTAATTTGAGTGTTTTTTCTTTCTCCCTTGTTATAAAACTAGACCAGTCTGTTATAGGCTACACAATTCAAATCCTGGTCTAAGTCTTGCTAGGTCAACTACCAATGTTCTTCATCACAGTCATTGCACCTTGCCTGCTTTCCTTCAAAACCACTCGTCTAAAACAAACTTTCAGAAGTGCACTAACGTGGTAAGAATCGCATATCATCACCACTGTCCCCCTACCTTGGTGAGGAAGAGTTTGCTGTTGAGCAGGTTGGAGAGCTGCACCAGGCCTTGCTCCACTGTGGCCCGTCGACACTCCTGCACGTCCAGATCCCTCCGCAGGGGCGACTCGCGGTGGCCCGGGAAGAAAATCCGCTCGGCATAGCGCCGGTAGTCCAGGAAGGGAATGCCTGAGCCCACCAGGTCACTGGACATGTCCATCATCTCCGTCATCAGGTCTGGGGGGGGGGGGGGGGGGGGGGGGGGTCAGGGGCTCAACGGTTAAGGGAGTATGACCTTCCTTGGAACACAGATCAATCTAATAAATGGTTGAGTGAAAGTCAGTGGAGAAAAAGGGCCCCTTAGAGGCAGAACCTAAAGGGGTCACCTAAATGGACAGATATATTGTCCAGAAATTACATCATTGGACAGAAAGGGTCACCCCCCCCGATAGCCATGAGAAACTTCCCTTAGGGAACTCGTATTTTACCATGCACCGGTTTTGATGCACGGACCGGTTTGGGTTTTTACTTTACCTTCTATAACAGTATTTTAATTGTTAAACGTGATACGTCCGTTTTGATAGTTTACTCAAGTCATCTCTCTCCCTCTCCTCCTGTATGCTGCTTCCCCATACGCTTCACTACATCAAGCCTTGCCCCCGTCCCTCAAACACTCACCATGCTCAAAGTGCCTGCTCACTATATTCCAACTATGGCATTAGAATAAGCATTCTATTTCCATGATTCCAACAGTTCACCAATTAATTAGGCCTAGATTTTTTTAAGATGCTCAACATAATTGTTGGTTGAAGTTGGATTGAACAGTATAAAACAATCAGAATGAAGAAAGCCCCGTTGAAAAAGTATAATTTCAGTGCTGCCACCCTAGGGGTCATGAACTACTCATAAAGCATATTTCGAACTTTCATTATTCAAAAACCTACCGTGAAATACCGTCATAAAAGTGAAAAATATCTTGATGACATATTGGCCATATCACCCAGCCCTAATTTCCTGTACAGTCGTGGTCAAAGTTTTGAGAATGACACAAGTGTTGGTCTTCACAAAGTTCACTGCTTCAGTTTTATGAGATATTTTTGTCAGATGTTACTATGGTATACTGAAGTATAATTACAAGCATTCCATAAGTGTCAAAGGCTTTTATTGACAATTACATTAAGTTTATGCAAAGAGTCAATATTTGCAGTGTTGACCCTTCTTTTTCAAGACCTCTGCAATCTGCCCTGGCATGCTGTCAATTAACTTCTGGGCCACATCCTGACTGATGGCAGCCCATTCTTGCATAATCAATGCTTGGAGTTTGTCAGAATTTGTGGGGTTTTGTTTGTCCACCCGCCTCTTGAGGATCGACCACAAGTTCTCAATGGGATTAAGGTCTGGGGAGTTTCCTGGCCATGGACCCAACATTTCGATGTTTTGTTCCCCGAGCCACTTAGTTATCACTTTTGCCTTATGGCAAGGTGCTCCATCATGCTGGAAAAGGCATTGGTCGTCACCAAACTGTTCTTGGATGGTTGGGAGAAGTTGCTCTCGGAGGATGTGTTGGTACCATTCTTTATTCATGGCTGTGTTCTTAGGCAAAATTGTGAGTGAGCCCACTCCCTTGGCTGAGAAGCAACCCCACACATGAATGGTCTCAGGATGCTTTACTGTTGGCATGACACAGGACTGATGGTAGTGCTCACCTTGTCTTCTCCGGACAAGGTGTTTTCCGGATGCCCCAAACTATCGGAAAGGGGATTCATCAGAGGAAATGACTTTACCCCAGTCCTCAGCAGTCCAATCCCTGTACCTTTTGCAGAATATCTGTCTGTCCCTGATTTTTTTCCTGGAGATAAGTGTCTTCTTGGCTGCCCTTCTTGACACCAGGCCATCCTCCAAAAGTCTTCGCCTCACTGTGTGTGCAGATGCACTCGCACCTGCCTGCTGCCATTCCTGAGCAAGCTCTGCACTGGTGGTGCCCCGATCCCACAGCTGAATCAACTTTAGGAGACGGTCCTGGCGCTTGCTGGACTTTCTTGGGCGCCCTGACGCCTTCTTCACAACAATTGAACCTCTCTCCTTGAAGTTCTTAATGATCCGATAAATGGTTGATTTAGGTGCAATCTTACTAGTAGCAATGTCCTTGCCTGTGAAGCCCTTTTTGTGCAAAGCAATGATGACGGCACGTGTTTCCTTGCAGGTAACCATGGTTAACAGAGAAAGAACAATGATTTCAAGCACCACCCTCCTTTTAAAGCTTCCAGTCTGTTATTCTAACTCAATCAGCATGACAGAGTGATCTCCAGCCTTGTCCTCGTCAACACTCTCACCTGTGTTAACGAGATAATCACTGACATGATGACAGCTGGTCCTTTTGTGGCAGGGCTGAAATGCAGTGGAAATGTTTTTTGGGGATTAAGTTCATTTTCATGGCAAAGAGGGACTTTGCAATTAATTGCAATTCATCTGATCACTCTTCATGACATTCTGGAGTATATGCAAATTGCCATCATCAAAACTGAGGCAGCAGACTTTGTGAAAATTAGTATTTGTGTCATTCTCAAAACTTTTGACCACGACTGTACTGCCAAGATTCCACACTTTGGTGTGGACAATAATGTTTTTTTCTCTGTCACTTCCTCTAACGCTGTCTGTTAGTCATAGTGTTAAGGTCTGACCTGTGAACTCTTTCTTGCAACGGTCTCTCACGCTGGTCTCCAGGTTCTCCAACTGGATCTGAACCTTCTTGTAGTCCCTCAGAGCCTGCTTACTCTTCCTCCTGACAGGCAGACAGCAGACAGACCGACAGACAGACAGACAGACAGTGAGAGCACACATACAGACACACATTAGAATTACACTCATAGCTCAAGGTACAACATTTTAATGTAAACAAATGCAAATGCTTGCACCCACATACCCCGACCCCCCCTCACACACGTACCTGTAGATGAGCACTATGATGAGGACGATGAGGGCTACAATGGAGGCCCCCACACCCACCCCTATCTTGGCCTCCAGGGGGAAGGTGGACAGGCTGAGGGTGTCGTATTGCACCCTGCCCAGGGAGAAGTTCAGGTTGCCCATGTGGACCTGGAACACACACATCAGCTTTGGAGTGACACTGAACAAATATATAAATGTCGTACAAGTCGTCCCAAACATGCTCAATGGGTGATATGTCTGGTGAGTATGCAGGCCATGTAAGAACTGGACATTTTCAGCTTCAAGGAATTGTGTACAGATCCTTGCGACATGGGGCAGTGCATCATCATGCTTAAAGATGAGGTGATGGTGGAGGATGAATGGCACGACAATGGGCCTCAGGATCTCGTCACGGTGTATCTGTGCATTCAAATTGCCATCGATAAAATGCAATTGTGTTCGTTGTCCGTAGCTTATGCCTGCCCATACCATAACCCCACCACCACCATGGGGCACTCTGTTCACAACGTTGACATCAACAAGCTGCTCGCCGAAACAACGCCATACACGCTTTCTGCCATCTGTCCGGTACAGTTGAAACAGGGATTAATCCGTGAAGAGCACACTTATTGAGCGTGTCAGTGGCCATTGAAGGTGAGCATTTGCCCACTGAAGTCGGTTACGACACCGAACTGCAGTCAGGTCAAGACCCTAGTGAGGACGACGAGCACGCAGATGAGCTTCCCTGAGACAGTTTCTGACAGCTTAGTGCAGTAAATTATTTGGTTGTGCAAACCCACAGTTTCATCTGCTGTCCTGGTGGCTTGTCTCAGACAATCCCGCAGATGAAGAAGCCGGATGTGGAGGTCCTGGGCTGGCGTGGTTACACGTGGTCTGTGGTTGTGAAGCCAGTTGGACGTACTGCCAAATTCTCTAAAACGATGGTAGAGAAATTAACATTCAATTCTCTGGCAACAGCTCTGGTGGACCTTCTTGCAGTCAGCATGCCAACTGCACCCTCCCTCAAAACTTGAGACAACTGTGGCATTGTGTAGTGTGACAAAACTGCACATTTTAGAGTGGCTATTTATTGTCCCCAGCACGCGGTGCACCTGTGTAATGATCATGCTGTTTAATCAGCTTCTTGATATGCCACACCTGTCAGGTGGATGGATTATCTTGGCAAAGGAGAAATGCTCACTAACAGGGATGTAAACACATTTGTGCACAAAATGTGTGCATACGGAGCATTTCAGCTCATGACACATGGGACCAACACTTTACATGTTGCATTTATATTTCTGTTCAATATAGAACGTGTACAAGCTGGGGCTTGGAAGTCCAATTGAGACTACTGAGATGTGTGTCAACCTTTGTCTGATTCACACTATAGGGACAAACCAAGCCAAGCGGAACTGTACTGGGCTGGCCTGGTTACACATCCATCCACCAAAGTTGCTGAAACCATGCTGGAAAAGACAAAGTGAAAAGAATCCAAGCCAGCACACTACAGTTTTGGTCAGCACAGTAGTGTGAAAAGAGTACTATTGTGTTGGAATGGACTCTCTTGTCGTTCTTGTGTATTGAACTGTATTTTGGGGAAATGTCAATCTTTGGGACAGTGTGTTTTGAAATGTGTGTTTTTGTCTGTTTGGAACAAAAGTGTGTATAGGAATGGAAACGGCAATAGTAAGGTGGACTTACGGTGAACTCGGGCAGTGTGTCGGCGCCCTCGCGCTTCCTGCCGCCGTTGGGAGGTCCCGGGACGGGCTGCTGGGGCGGGGGCTCGCAGTACAGGTGGTTCCTAGTGAGGGTCTTCACGGAACATACACCCTCCCCCACCAGTACCACCACCTCCTCCTTAGAGATGGCCAGGTCCAAGTTCTCACCCTATGGAGGGGGGAGGGAGAAATATAGACAATATTACCACATTGAGCATCATGCTTGAATCAAAACTTTTGCATTCCCAGCCTCGTCTTCGGAACATTCCTCTATTTCCATCCTCTATTTCCTCCATCTCTCATGGGAGTCTAGCCTTCTCCTAAACTCCAGCCAGGGGGACAGAATGAAAGCGTTTTATTTCTGACTGCAGCTTTCAGCTGCAAGGCCTTCCAGGAGACCTCTCTCTAAATACCAGTTGAGTGGAAAGTAAACATTTTTCTTTTTACATTCTATCCATTTGCCTTGGCTTTATAGTACTAGCTAGCGGTTAATGCTAACCTCCAGCTGTCAACTGTACATGCCGTTAGCCTGAAAGCTGGCTAGCCTCCAGCAGCTAATTTAACAAGTTGAGAGTGGCAGGTAGCAGCTAATGCTAACCTCCAGCTGAATGAAGCTTCCTGGGTTGTAGCGGTAGGGCTTGAGGGGCTCCTGCTGGTTGAGCGGGTGCAGCACAGGGTTGGGCTCATAGCTGAAGGCCCCCTGGGGGCTGACGGCACCGAACGGGAACACTAGGTTGTCCAGGAGGAAGGCCACGTCCACCCGCGAGCCCCACACCGAGGGCTCCACCGCTGGGCTCCGACACAGGATCAGACTGGAGGAGTTGACCTCGCAGCGCTCTATGTACTGAAGGGGGGAGATAGAGAGGAGGGGGAGGGGATATCAATAAATTAAATGTATTTATAACGCTCTTTTTACATCGACAGTTGTCACAGAGTGCTTGTTTTTAGCAATCTAGGATCAGTGTTGGGGGTAAAGTGTTACAGAAGTAACGCGTTACAGTAATCAGATTACTTTAATGAGTAACAGAGTACAAAAAAAATAAAAATGGTAATATTATTACAGTTACCTTCACGTTACTTTAAGAAAATATTTCCCCACCAGGCGTGGTGTTTCTATGATCTGATCTCGGCTTGTTTCCTCATTTAGTTCTCGAGCGAGCAGAGAAAGCTGTTTGGAGAATTGTCACAGCTGTCCATAAAATGGATAGAGGGCGCACCTCTGATTGCCATTGACAGCTTCTGTAATAGGAGCACCATTATCTTTGGCTTCACCATCTAGTGGCAAGTGTGCCGTCTAGCTACCCAACAGTAGCACTGGCGGCTGGAGGGAAAGATTTTGAATAAAAATAAATAATCTGTACAGAGGTTTAGTTTATATTAGGTTTGGCTGTGCAACATAACAATCAATTTCATAGGATGACATAAGTATAGACCAAAGGGTCTTTCTATTTATAGAAAAAAATATATATTCATTAGGCTAAAAATACAAAAAATGAACTAACTTTCCCACCGGAACTTCTGACAGCAGTTCCAAGTGATCCGTAACCATGAAATGATTCAGCAAATAGCCTTGTCTACTACTAATTTTGTATGCCTATTTATATACATTATCATCGCGCATTCTATAGATAACAGGCTTTCAATTCCATGATCAGTGCGCTGGCACATACCGTATGCTGCAGTGTTGTGGATTAGGCTATCAACTGGGACAACTTGTTTTCTATCAAACCAAAAGAGGCTACATGAAATTATTGATGGTTGACATTACAGAAATATTTTTTTTTCTTGTCTCGTAAATGGATGAAAACAACAGTGCTTAGCCTATATTTCACGTGTGCATAAAATATTATCTTGTGTCACGGAGGGGCCATGCTATGGGTGTATCCTAGGGATGTAGCTCAGTTGATAGAGCATGGCGTTTGCAACGCCAGGGTTGTGGGTTCGATTCCCACGGGGGGCCAGTATAAAAAAAATATATATATATGTATTCACTAACTGTAAGTCGCTCTGGATAAGAGCGTCTGCTAAATGACTAAAATGTAAATGTATAATATGTACCGCAAATGTTCTGCAAAATTCGGACATAAATGCACCAGTGAATACATCAGGCTACACCAATTAGGAAATAAAAGTTGTGATCAAGATGTTTCTGATCGGGTTGAAGATTATTTTTGAATGAATTAGATGACATTAGTAGCCTATCTTTGGTAGAGCGTTTGTAGCTTGCCTCGCTCCCTCTGACAGACAAACAAACAGTGAGGTTTTGAGATTGTGTTCATGGAAGTAACGCAAAGTAATGTAACGCGTTACTTTCTGTGCAAAGTAATATTGTAATGGAACAAGTTACTTTTCCCCCCATGTAACAAGTAATACGTAATATTACCTTTTCATGTTAATCCCAACACTGCCCAGGATAGAGGGCAGAGGGAGAGGTGCGGGAGGGGGAGAGGGAGAGGTGCGGGAGGGGGAGAGGGAAAGGGAGGGGAGAGGGAGGGGAGAGGGGGAGAGGGACGGGAGAGGGAGAGCGATAGGGATTTCATTGAGTGAGGAAAGCCTGACACAGTCAGAATGTTATTCCTTCCTCAGTTACAACTACCATAAAGATGACAACACACACACACACACTCCCTATCCACACACCTGTTTGATGGAGCATAGGGGGTCGCCGGGGCAATCGGGCTCCGGGACGATCCTGCGATGCCTCAACAGCACCTTGTCCTCAGTCTCTTCCTCCCTTTCTCCTCCACTCCTCCTCCTTCTCCTTCTCTTCCTCTGGCCGATTGACTCATAGGGGGACACGGTCACCAACATCCTAGGTTCCTGCACCACATCCAGGTTATGGCCAGACACGAAGACCAGACGACCACCGCTACAGAGAGAGAGAGAGGGGGAGGAGATGTGTCATAACACTGGTCTGAAGGAAACTTGCACTATGTTCTATGATTGGTGGATCGGTGGCCATATTCAGTGTCTCCAAGTGTTTCAGTCTAATTGACGTGGTCTAAGGGTCTTTGCCCCTTCTTCTAATTCAATTTCTATGGTCATACCCAATTCTAGGCTTCTGAAATATACAGTTTCTGTGTAGGAGTGGGGCCAAACACACACACACCTGAGGAAGCTCTTGGCGGGCGCGGCCTGGGTGATGTTGGGGTTGGGGGTGTAGCGGTAGGCCGACTCGTGGAGGTGGCGCTGGCTGTTGCCATAGCGAAGCGTCACGCGGTGCTCTCCCGTCCCATTGCTGCTGCCCGTCACACACACCACACTGCCCTCCTGGACCTTTGACAAACTGGGGGGAGGAGAGAACAGGAGGAGAGGGAGGGTAGTTGAGAACCGAGAAGTTCTACAATACTGCTAATAGGATAATGTATCAATGGCTCTGTGTGTGTGTGTTTGTGCGTATGAATGTGCATACTTATGAATGAGTGTGCTTGTGTCTATGTGTCTGTATTAATGAATGTTTGTGTTCATGAGTGTGTGATTCATTACCACTCACATGACACAGGGCACTCCTCCCACAGTGACAGTGATGTCAGAAGGGCGTCCTGTGAGCAGGTTCCTCCCAGTGATGGTAAGGGATGATCCCCCCGCCATGGGACCCCTCTGGGGGGACACCTCCATCACAAACGGGTCCTGGTAACTGAACCTCTGGCTGGAGAGGCCAAACTCTCCCCCGCTCACTTCTACTGACACCTGGCCCATCTTCTCTCCCCCGCTGGCTTCAGTCTTACACACGATCCTACAGAAAACACACAGATGTAAGACAATGCATCATAGAAATAGTCATCTCACACACACACACACTCTCATTTACAGTCCTTACCTGGAGGAGACCTCGTAGAGGTGGGGGATGACAGAGCAAGAAACCCCAGCCACAGTGACAGAGTGCAGAATGTCCTCAGCCTTCTGGCCCAGGTTTGACCCTGAGATGGTCACCACCGTGCCCCCCTCCACCAGACCTGACAGGGGCTCGATCTAACACGGGGGGGGGGGGGGATTCAAACATATCCTCCAACATAAGCCTCAACACTATTAAGATATCTCTATATATTACTCATATCTCTATATAGGACTATCAAATATTCTAGTGAAGATAAACTGAGCAAATTGTGATAGATAGAAAACTAGAACGTTAGAAAACTAAGTTAGTTAGTTCATAAGTTGACATCAGCTGTCACAACTGTATATGACTGTTTATCACATCTGACTTATCTTTTACAGTGAAAATGCTTTATGAGCCAAATGACAGGAGGATTCAAGTTCAAGTGTTAAAACGTGTTACTTCGTGTAAATCAATGAGCAATAAGTGTTAAGTGTTTAAAAAACGTGTTACTAAGTGTAAATCAATTAGCAATAATAAGTCCTGAGCGTTGAACCCTTGATAGGGGGATTCTCACAGCATGGATGACGGGGGCGGGGCAGGTCTGTTCAATAGGCTCGCTGCAGGAGTCTCTGTAGAGACAGGTGGACTGGCCCCCTCCGCACCACACACAGCCGTACTTCTGGTCCGCCGTGTGACACCGGCTACAGTCCGAACGCCCCACTGAACAGTTGTACAGAGTCACTGGGAGGGAGAGAGAGGCAAACTATAGTCAACCTGCTAAACTTGACAGTTGAGTTTAAATGAGTCTGAAGGAGAGTTGTAGAGTGCTGAGGGAAAATGATACATCTAGTGTGTACAGTTGAACAGAGTCATTGCGAGGAACAGAGAGAGAGAGAGTTATACAGACTGTGTGAGAGAGTTTACAGTATGTTGAATGAGTTTAGAGTTCGAGTTGATTGAGTGTCTGTGAGAGAAAGATGTTAGAGAGTGAGAGGAAGAGGAATACAGTCACGGGGGGAGAGAGATGTAGAGCGTGTGTGTCTGAGTGCATGCATGCTTGCACACTTGCATGCTTGTGTGTGTGTACAAAACAGAAGACAGCGTGATAAAAACATCACACAACTCGTGCTACCAGGTCCTTGGGGACGGGTGTGAAAACGGAAAATGCGAGAACAGTTTCTCGGGACCATATGTTTGATACAGAAGTGAAATAGAAAAACATTGTTATGGCTGAAAGCTGTCTGGGATGGCAGCAGCTGTTCCTCAGTGCTCTAGCGCCGGGGCTCACCATACAGATCGTGAGAGCTGTCCACGTGGAAGGTGTCCCGCCTCTTCACGTACACCATGGCGTTGTACTCCTCCACCAGGGCAGAGTAGGAATACTGCAGCGAGAATTAGTCATTAAAGTTTCCATAGAAACTTCAAGAGTACTAAAGTTTCCATAGAAACTTAGAGACAGAGGGTGTCCCCCAAATGGCACCACATTCCCTGTAGAGTGCACTACAAAAGGAAACGGGTGCCATTTGCGAGGCAGATAGAGTTTCAACAGAAACCATAGAAACTTCAACATTTTCATATTAAAAAGAAAGGGATATAACAGTGATCAGAAAGTAAAACTACAGTGGGCTGCAGTGTCAGCAGTGTTTAACACACATAAATCAAAAGTGTTTAAGTATAACAAATCCATGTACAAAAACATAATCATATAGGGTAAATCCAAAGTCCCATACTTTCATACCACTTAGAATGCACGCCAATATATTTCATCATTCTAGGTAATGTAGTGTGGCTATTGGAACAGAGACATATTAAAGCAACTGACAAGATTACACTAACTCTTCATCCAAGCTGGCAGTGAGTGAGTATGGGATAGAGTCTGACCTGGTGCAGCTGACAGGTGATGTCAAAGAGAGACGGGTTCATCTCGTCCATCTCCACATAGGCATCCACCACCACTGTACGGCCCTCGATCACCAACACACACTCGTAGTCCAGGTCTCTGTCCTGCACACACACACACACACACCAAGCCATGTTTAAACTTCAACAGGGGCATTGTTAACAGATAACTTCCTCAAAATCAAATGAAATCCTGACTTTTGTAATTGCCCCAGACCCCGGAGTAGGTGTGTGTGTGTGTGTGTGTGTTACCTGGTACAGGTGGAGGTTTCGGGCGAGTAGCGTGATCTTCCTCTCCACTCTGACTGGTAACAGAGGCGAACCCTGGACCTTCTCCACACAGGGGCAAGCAGACGAGCCCCAACTCACATAGGAGCCCTCGTCCCCCTACATTCCCCACACACACAGTTGTGTTAGATACATACACATACACTCACAAGGACACACACACTCCAACCAACGCAAGCTATCGCACATTTCTGAAAATCCCATCAACCCATAAGAAATTGACAGTTAAGTTATAAGGATGTCATAGGCTTTTTTTATGTAATAATGGACTATTAAAATGGCCTAACAAACAATAAAACATATGAAAACATTCACAAAAAAGCAACTGCTCCAGCTTATGCTGACGCAGCCATTTTTTCAGGTCGATTTCCAAAAGCCAAAGCAATGTCAACAATGAAATCAAAACAGTGAGGAATTGCAAGGGGATAAGGGGAGATCGGGGATTCTGGCAATTGGTGTCAGAAGTGGGATTCTAGAGAGCTGTGTCCAGTCAAGAGCTGGGAGAACGGCGGCCATGGAAGCTCCAGGGGAACTCGAACTCACCGGCAGGAAGGTGTCGGACGAGTCGTACTGGTAGTCCAGCTCTAAGTTGGCGCCAAGAAGCCGGGGGTAGGCAGAGGCCGAAGGGGAGTCAGTTGCCTCTCCGTCCCCTGAAAGCACGGTGGCGGCCGAAAACGCGGCGCTGGTGTCGTTCTCAGCTGCTGTGCCCTCTGTCTCCTCCTCCACTTCCTCCCTGGGCCAGAGGAGCACTTCCGGTTCGGCGCCCTGGCCCTCCGCCTCAGTGGGGGGGAGGGGCTCTAGCGGAGGCGGGAAGTGGGCTCTCGTCAGGTCCAGGTGGAAGGTGGGCTCCGAGTCGGCCGGTTCCCACAGGGGGAAGGGGGTCGGGAAGGGGTAGCTGCCAGAGGTGGGCTGGACCTCCATGGGGGGCTTGGCCAGAGTCAGAGCCTCGTCCAGTTCCTGAGGGGGGGACGTGGTGACCACTTCCAATGGGGATGTCTCGGGGGGGAACGCCAGGGGGTTTAGGATGGCGAGATCATCGGACGGCTGCTCGTCTTCAGGCATAACTGTCGCCACCTCGGTTTCAGCGGCAAGCTCCATGTCACCAGGGGTAACCACAGGTCCTTCAGTTTCACTTTCAGTTTCAGCCTCTGCAAAGAGCTCTTCTGCGGTCGTTTGCTCCTCTTCCTCACTGGTGGTGGTCTCAGGCATGGGCGTTGTAGCCTCGACTACCGTTGTCGGGGGAAGAGTGGTGGGGGCCTCCGTTGACATAACAGTGGTGGGCGGTGTAGTCGGCTCTGGGGTGGTGGTTGTGGGGACGGTTGTAGGCAGGGTTGTTGTCGTAGGCTCCTCGGTGGTCGCTATGGTGGTTGCGGCTTCGGTTGTTGTAGTCGTGGCGATAGTTGTTGAAATTGTGGTAGTTGTCGTTGTTGGGGGTGTGGTTGTTGTTGTCGTTGTTGGGGGCACAGTTGCTGTTGTGGGGGCCACGGTTGTGGACGGGGAAGTCGTTGTTATAGTTACGGCTTTAGTTGTGGGAGGAGCCGAGGTGGGGAGTTTAAACTGGGTGGTGGAGGGGGGTAAAGGGGGAAGACATGGGGGAGAGGGTGAGACAGAAATAAACAAACTCATAAGTTGACTGAAAAACTCAAATTGGATGTGAAACACATATCCTGAATGTTGTCAGTGTTACCATCAATGATGACACAACTCATGCATTTGGTTGGCGACACATACGCAAAATGGAGATGATTATTAGTTATATCGGATGTATGCTTGTTTTGGGACATGAGGAGCAGTGAGAAAATTAGTGTTGGGTTATTAATGACTCCCAACAGTTTGTGTTCTCATTAGAGACCTTCTTTCACTCAACCAGCTACAATTGATCAGCCCCAACCAGCCTTACCATGTCACTAGGTTGCATTAGGTGGACCAAACTCTACAGCGAACAACATAGCCAGGCTGGCAGTTCCTTTTTCAGAATGCACACAGCATGCTGTTTGACCTCTAGCTAACTGACCATTGTCGCTGTGTGTGTGACTTACGTGTTCATTGTAGATGATGACCCCCTTGTCACAGGTGGGCTTGTGGGTACAGGTGTGCTGGTGGACACACCAGTTGCAGCCCCAGCGACTCAACACGCAACCACGGCAACTATAGGAACAGTGCAGGAATCAGTGACCATACTAACACTACTACAATGAGAGAGAGAGAGGAGAAAGAAAGAGGGGGGGGGGAGAGTAGGAGGGGGGTATAGAGAGAAAGAAAGTGAGATGGTATTGAAAGAAAGGAGATGACAGAAAGATAGACAAATGTGAGGAAGGAGAGGAAGAGAGAGAGAGCAAGCCTGGCCCACAGCGCAATCCAATTGCTGGCAATCTAGGGCCAGTGGTAAAAAAAGGTCAATCATTTAATTGAATAAAGTACCGGTCGCTGGTTCCTAGTCGGAGTGCTCTGAACCGTGTACCAGGAAAGGAGAGGAGAAAGAGGATCATTGAGTGAGTGTATGTGCTAACATCATAGAGATGGATAGAGTGCCCACCATGGCGCTGCCCATGCTATCAGTCTTTTGTGGTCAAGTGTGCCCTCTATCCATATTTATGGCTAACACAGCCCAACTGATGCAGTGAATATTAGCATTGCTAGACAGAGCTTGACAAGGCACTCCTATGGCCAGATATCCCACTTCTGACAACAACTGTATCCAATGTATTGCTAACCTGTGCCCCCGCACATTGACTCTGTACCGGTACCCCGTGTATATAGCCTCCCTACTGTCATTGTACTGCTGCTCTTTAATTATTATTATTATTTTATTTATTTACTTATCTATTTTTTACTTAACAGTTATTTTTCTTAAAACTGCATTGTTGGTTAAGGGCTTGTAAGTAAGCATTTCACTAAGGTCTACACCAGTTGTGTTCGGCGCATGTAACAAATACAATTTGATTTGATTTAATAAGGGTTTTGCACCAGTGTGAAGTTTGCAACTATCACTATCTATAGGGAATAAAACATGCAAGGCAGAAACCAAAAAGTTGAACAGATTGATAACACCTGAGGGACGATTATAAAGACAGTTAAGTTTCATTTTTCTCTGAAGAAATGTGGCTCCTACTCCTATTATTCTAGCTGGGTCCGTTCACGTGCAGACAGTTTTCCTGCAGGACATATATGGAGATGTCTCTGAGATGTGGTTTTAATATCAACCAGACTAGAGAGCGGAGGAGGCATGTGGAGGGCAAGGGTCAGGTGCCTGCAGCCATAATAACCACAGGTTCTCCCTAGTATAAATGAGAGGGAAAAGAGAGTACAATAGGTTTAGAAAAGGTTTAGAATGGAGCAAGGGGATTGGAAGATGCTATAAGCGGTTCCAAGTGGTGCAGTACAGAGGTTCAACAGACCCAGGTCAATCAGCCCAAGAGGGAGAGAAAAATTGAGAGCAAGAGAGAGGCCCCTATTGAAGGGGACAGAAGGGCAGAAATGGATATCGAAATGAAGAGAGAAACAGAGAGAAAGAGAGAGGAGACGGAGAGAAAGAGAGAGAGGAAGAGAGAGAAAATACTGAGCAAGAGTAGGAAAAAGAGGGAGAGTGGTGGGCCAACTCACGGCACGCTCCCAGACAGCTGCTTGACTGCGGTACAGTCGTAGAAGGTGAACTCTGTCGCCGTGACGATGACATCACCGAAGCGCAGGGACAGGGTGACCGTGACAAAATCTGAGGAGAGAGCGAAACGGAGAGAAAGAGAAAAGATTGTGTTTCACTTCCCCAGGATCCCTACCCGAACACCGTGCCAAGCTTTCTGAAAATACTCTGTTCTGAAGGTTTGAGAGACAGAGACTTGGCCGTGTCGGTCTGTCCGAATGAAAGCACTGTGTCTTCAAAACAGTGTGAGGAGGGGAGAACGTGAGATTGAGACGTTGCGCCCCAAATAGTGTCCTATTGACTATACAGTGCATTACTTTTGTCCAGAGCTCTATGGGCCCTGGTCAAAAGTAGTGCACTATGTAGGAAACGGGGTGCCATTTGGGACAGTGCCTGAGAGTACGCTTGGCCGAGTGAAGAGCCATAACAGAGTTCTAATAAAATCCATCTGTAGCCCCAAAGCCCCAGACGTAAACAGTGCAGAGGGAGGAGTTCAGGTCTGTGGGGCCCACTGTGTGTGAAGTTTGAAGCGCACTGATTGCACACACAGACACACACACACACACATAAGGGCATGTAAATATTGTATACGTGTATTCCCTCACACTTACTAGCCCGTGCACAGAAATATTTTCGGGAGCTGGGTCCATGCAATTGGATTGTATCAATTCACTTAATACAATCTTGAGTCATTTTCCAAGTAACAAGATGATCTTCCTTATTCTAATCACAGGATAAGAGCATCTGCTTAATGAATTAATGGTTCAGACTATGAACTAAACCACGATTACATTATGTGAGTACGGCTGGACTCTCTTTACTCCCAAGATCCCATTTGAACCCCCCGCAGATCACACACACACACGTGCTTATATGCACAAATTAACTCCATATACACACACAGTCTCACACACAGAGATCTCCCTGTAATACCTGTGGGATCAGTGGATCCCCCCTGTGTGTGTCTGTTCACTAATACCCCCAGGCAGACGGGCATAACTACTTAACCCCCACGGCCTGACAACCACAACAAACCTCCTTGGTCCAGGAACGATTTTCATGGGAACCAAGGAGAGAGAGAGAGATGGGGGGATGAAAAAATAGTAGATGGATGGAGGGAGGGACGGAGGGGAGAAAGGAGAGGTGGGGGGGGGGGGGTGAAAGAGGAGTTCACTGGTGTGTGAAGGTGTGTGTACATTCATACGGCCAACTACCCGCAAGCGTATACGTTTGCTTTTTTAAATCGGCATTCGACTAACAGTTCATCCCCATAATATATCCAAGATGACTAACCAAAACAAATCGACGGCTCCAAGCACGCAACTGAACCATCGCAGACTATCCCAGACAAAATGATGGAAGAGTGCATCAAAACGCATAGGCAGATGATGGCTGAATTGTTAAATGAATTTAAAAATCACTAGCTATAGCTGCTACCCGGACCGGCGGAGATGGAGATGACTCCCTGCTGTGTAAACTGGGAGCCAAAGAGGATTGGGGTGCAACACACATCTGCTCTCTAAGGACATAGGATAGGATATCGCTGCTTAGGGTGGAGCTAGAGGCTGATCGGCTTGTATAGCAACACACACACTTTAATGAACCCATGAACCTCAGTGTGTGTGAGTGTAAACAGTATGGAGAAGCAGGTTGAATGCCCAGTACCCGCTGATCATCTCACCCCGTTGGTACTCACCTTGTCCGGGGGGCACAGTTGGCACCCTGTGGGGGTCGGGGGAGAGGCAGGTGACGCCCGTATCGGTAACGGTGGCAGGACTCTCAGTGTCATGGAAGAAACAGGAGTATGAGTTGTCCTCTTCTAGGATGGGCAGGCCCGGGACTGATAGAGCAATCTAAGGGAGGTAGGGAGAAGAGGGGGAGGATGTGAGAGAGAGAGAGGGAAAGAGAAAGAGTATGAACGACCTGGCTCGGCTCTGCAAGAATGGATCTGCATTTCAACAAAATTCAGGATCTCAAGGAACACTAATTGGACGTTGGCTTGATATAACTGGTTTGAACTTGATACATTCGGTAAGATCTGGATTTATCTGGATTTCACAGAGATGTTGTTGAAGGGCTGAGAAACTGAGGAGAGATTGAGTCTCCCTCGAGGAGCTTTGTCATCACTGACAAGCAGCATCTCAACAGTCCAAACTCGCCCTCGCCCCCTCCGTCCCACCGCATTGATGTGAGCAGATTCAAAAAGCAAATCCTCCAGAAGAATCCACCATATCACCTTCACCTACCCCCCGATTTCAAATCAGCGCAGATAAAGCAGAGGAGGCTTTTTTAAACTATTGAGATGCACCCAAGGTCATGCCTTGCATGTTTATCTGCTTTTTTGTAAACTATTGAGACGCATCCAAGGTCATGCCTTGCATGTTTACTTGGACATGTCCAAGGAGCCTCCCCTTCCTCCCACTATTAATCCACCGTTCCTCCTTCCCCAATGTCAGATGATATACATCACCTCACATGAATTATCTGTAAAGCTGTCCAGAGCCGGATCACTTAATACATGATTTATACTGTTTGTGTTTCTACTAGATGTTGAGACAGGGGCAGCTAGCACCGAGTCTGATAACCATCTCTGATCTCTGCTGTAACACAGGAAGTAAAACGAGCAAACACCCTGCCAGCCAGGCTAAAACTAACTCCCATGTACAGTGTGGACATAAAGGAATGCACTATCTATAAGCATGTGCTCGCATACCCATGTACATGGACACACACACAGACACACATGCAGTCAAATGCATATACACACACACACACACACACACACACACACACACACACACACAGACACAGAGACAAAGACGCGCATGCACATATACACACACACGTACATGTCTCTTCTCCTCGCGGCTGATGTTGGAGGGGCTGAGGGACTGGATGGTGAGGCACTGCTGCTCCATGTCGAAGCTCCACAGCCACTGGCCCGCCTGAGCCCCGTGTGAACACTGAGACTTCTGCCCACACCTACACATACAACAGATTACTATCATACAATACTGCATACACTATGTTATCATATCATACTGTAATAGATACATTATGACCTCAGCATCATATCTCTATAAAAAGGCAGGATGTAGATGGAGAGTGGAGGGGAAGAGGGAGGAGAAGATTAGAAGGGAAAGAAGGACGGGAGGGAGAGGGGAAATGGAGGGACAGAGAGAGGGAGAACGGGAAAGAGCAACAGGGGAATCGGGGCCAAAGAGGTGATGACACTGACGAAGGCTGAAACGTTTGTCTATCTACCTACCCCTGAATGAAAGAAATACTAAGAATCCTTGAATCTCCTTTTTGAGTGTGGACCGGCTACACCATTGTGATGGGAGCAAGAGAAATGGAAAGGAAAAATGAAGTAAATGTGGAAGGAGGACAGCAAAACAGGCGAGTTGATAACATTAGCTAACATTAGCTGACACTAGATAACATTAGCTAACATTAGCTTTACATTTACAAAGAATACTAAGAATCCTTGAATCTCCTTTTTGAGTGTGGACCGGCTACACCATTGTGATGGGAGCAAGAGAAATGGAAAGGAAAAATGAAGTAAATGTGGAAGGAGGACAGCAAAACAGGCGAGTTGATAACATTAGCTAACATTAGCTAACATTAGCTGACACTAGATAACATTAGCTAACATTAGCTGACACTAGATAACATTAGCTAACATTAGCTAACATTAGCTGACATTAGCTGACACTAGATAACATTACATAACATTAGCTAACACTAGATAACATTAGCTAACACTAGATAACATTAGCTAACACTAGATAACATTAGCTAACATTAGCTGACACTAGATAACATTAGCTAACATTAGCTGACACTAGATAACATTACATAACATTAGCTAACACTAGATAACATTAGCTTTAACATAAAGATTATTATTATTATTTATTTATTAGCTAACACTAGATAACATTAGCTAACACTAGATAACATTAGCTAACACTAGATAACATTAGCTAACACTAGATAACATTAGCTAACATTAGCTGGAAAAATAGAGAAAAAGGAGGGAGGACAGGTGGCCAAGGTGCAGGAAAAGAAGGGAGAGGGGGGTGAGATGGGGATGAGGGAGACGGAGGGAAAGAGGGAAACAGATGGTAAAGAGATGATGCTCTTAATAATAATATAATAATAATATGACATTTAGCAGACGCTTTTATCTAAAGCGACTTACAGTCGTGTGCATACATATTTACGTATGGGTGGTCCCGGGGATCGAACCCACTACCCTGGCGTTACAAGCGCCATGCTCTACCAATTGAGCTACAGAGGACCACATCATTGCATCATTACTCATAGCAACCCCCCTGAGTAAATACGCGTGGTACCACAAATACCTTCTCTGACTGTGTTGAGAATCTGTAATGACCTGAGTTTTTCCAGTGTGCTTGACCTGACAATGGAAAACTCTGGCCAATAGTTTGATATGTCAACCCTTTAACCAGAGCCAGGGTTGGGTGGATTACTTGAAAAATGTAATCTGTTAAAGATGACTGATTTCATGACAATAAAAGTAATTTGTGACGGAATCCATTGGATTACTCAGAATGAGTCGCTCACCTCCCCTCCAGGACACACCAGCCACAGTAGGGGTCGTGGGCCGACAAACAGGCTTGGCAGTCCAGGTGTTCGTGGCACTCTGCCACTGGCCTCTTCTGCAGCTGTGACCACAACAAAACAACAGGGAATATTCATCATTACGTTATGTCCAACGCATTGCAAATGATGACACAGCTCTTAACCGAGACAAAGGAGACCCATTTGACCACAACTGTAATCACTTACTGGGTAGCTGAAGGGATAGTTGGATAGATATAAGCAATGTGGTGAAAATGTTGCCAAGTCCTAGCCTATTGGTACTGCGGATTGAGTGATTACTATAAACGTAAACCCGTCCCCAGGCTTAAAGAGATAATTATATGCCAGCGCTTCCCAAACATGCACCCCTTGGGGTCCCCAGGACCGAGTTTGGGAAATGCTGCTATTAACTATAAACTAGTATTTTATGAGAGACACTTGTTGCCATGGTGCCTGTGTGAATGGAGGGGAAAATACACAGTTGTTGTGATGTGGGTGTACTGTTGGTGTCAGAAGTGGGATTCAACTGTGACACACAGACACTGACCAGAGAGAGTTAGGAAGACAGCACCAACAGTTCTGGGACCAGGCTAGTGTACTGTACCATGGTGGCGGTCATGATGAAGATGTGTTCCTCAGACTGATCCAGGACCAGGTCAGAGCTGATGGCTGTGTTGGCCTGGATGGAGACGACAGCGTACTCCTCCACCTCACCGTTAGGGCCCAGGAACACCTGGAGCACACACAAACCAATGGTTAAGAAACCCATAAGGTACATTTAATTTCATTATAGCAAACGGATGGGGGGATAATAGAACTCGGGTCACTTGTGTGAAAGGAAAACATACAATAGGGTTAGCCCACTTGAGGAAATTGTAATGTAGGCTCATTAGAGAGGATCGCTACAATATTACAGAATCTATATTTTATAATTTTCGTAAAAAGTTATTAGAAATTCTATTTTAATGTGACACATACCCCTAGTTCTATAATTCAATAGCCAGGGAGACAAATAGCCTAGCATGATCTGTTAAATACAGCCATTAGGAATAACAAGCGTGCTAAATTGAATTCTGTTGGTATTTGAAGTATTTTGAGTCACAATGGTTTTGGAGAGGAGTTAATGGTGAAACATCATAAGTCTGCTGAAAGCATAAAGATGCACTGTTTGGATGAGTTGGGATGCCAATCGAAATGTTTGTCTTGAAGAGGTCAACTGGGAACATGGCGACAGGGTAATTGTTTGTAAGTAGATGTTGTTCACTCAGTCATCCTCATCTCTTTTTCTCGCTCTCCTCTCGCTCTCTTTCCAATACACACCCGATTTGGGTTTGGACGTGTGTGTGTGTGTGTGTGTGTGTGTGTGTGTGTGTGTGTGTACGCACGCAACTGTCTGAATATTATTTCAATGCAGGCGTGTATTTCTTCAAGAAACGCAGAGACATTTGCCTTGGCATTTCTTGAAAAGAAAGGCTGATCTGATGAGTCAATGGCCCAAGCTTGCTCCCCTTTGAAGAGGGGGAATTCTAATTTAAATCGGTTGTTTCATGTCTGGCAACCCGTCTGACCCATCTGTTCTGTCGGGTTGCCATGTTGGGGGAACTAATAGTGATCTAGCGTGGGCTAAATTGCTGTTATTAGAGCCTGGACAGTCAAAGCCTTTGATGAACGCCGGGATCAAAGAACATGCGACGGCACAGCTGACCCAAAACTCCCCCCCACCATCCAATAGAATAGGATTATCTCATCACGGCAAAATCTTGGCCCATATCTCGACCTCCCCATCATCTGTGTCTGTGTGTGGCCCCGCCTGGACACACACATACAGTACAGAACAAACCAACTTAGACACACACACACTTTCACAGATTGAAACAGACACACGTTCTTTCTATGCCTCTTGCTCCTTCTCATTCTCCCTGTCATACTGGTTTGTGACGTGTAGCATTTGTTAATTTGGGGGGAAATGTGGCTTTTTTTAAAAACTGGATGTCATTGCTCTTTCTTCCGACTTTTGGCCTCCAGGAAGTTAATACGACATTTGTGACAATGAAATCGCATTGATGGCCAATACAAATCAATCGATTTCCCAATATCAAATCTGTACTAGTTATAGAGCTTAAACAAATCCCACTTTCAACAAATATCTCTTTCACTGACAATTCACCTAGTGAGTATCAGTCACGTGCAGTAATATGCTAGCGAGAGACGCATATATATAAGATAATATGTACTTTATTATCAATTAACTTACAGAGAATGAAAATGTGCCTTTTATGCTCACAACCCAACCCCCCGAGACACTCACACACACACTCTCACACCGAGGGGCTGGAAGCAATGGGTCAGCCACAGTGCAGCACCCCTAGAGCAATTGTATGGGTTTATGTGGCTTGCTCAAGGGCACAATGGCAGGCAATGGTCTAGTTTGTCCCAGGGTCATATAGAGTTCTAGGACTACAGTTAGGGACTTCATTCACAGAATTAGGCAGTGTGTGTGTGAGGACTGATAAGTCTATGAAAAGAGAATAGGGCCTTCTATTTATAACGCTGGTTTTTACCATCTAGTTGCCACTAGTCAGCGTCTGTGCACTGTTACACACACGGAGTGTGACACACACAACAAAGCCCTGAGTCATGGAGTGCTATTAGCCAGACATGATGAGGCACGGCCACATTGGCCAGTGGTGTTTGTTTTCTGGTCAGTGTATGCAAAAATACTGTGCTGATAGAGCTTCCTTCCCCACTCTACCCCACCCCGCTCTGGTCACAACCGCAGGGCAGTCATTGACAAAAATGACACAAAGCGCTAATTGTTAGCGCTAGTCACCATTCCTCGAGTGACATTCTGAGAGTGAGAGAACTCGCTACTGCTATGAACTTGTAATGCTTAAATACTCTGACGTGGCTTCGCTGACAGTGATAGGCAAACCGACTGGTGGGTTTCCACCAAGACAGCAAATTTAAACTACTGAGATTCACCCTATGAGCCCCCCACCACATCACCCCTCTAATTCCCATGTTTGGGTAATATAAACTCAATCCCTGGCCCTAATGTGTTTCAAGACCATATTTGAAGTGTGGTGTTTTTTCCCCCAAGCCCTCTGTGTATCACTGGCATGTTAACCCAAAGGTTCTTTCCCCCCCTCCCCTGTGTGTGCCCTGGTCCGTGAACCCCAGAAGACACAGCTCCACACGACACCTCTGCTCTGCACCAGGTGATGGTACCACACAAAAATCTAGCAGACAGAACAGAACCATGCCTCCTGTTTACAACAGCTTCATGTGACCCCAGCCAATAAGGAAAGCCAATGGACTGGACTTATCCCAGCCGACATGGCAACCCAGTAGATTGGATTTATTCCAGCCAACATGGCAACCCAATGGACTGGACTTGTCCCAGCCAAACTGGCAAACCAATGGATTGGATTTATCCCAGCCAAACTGGAAACCCAATGGACTCCCTGGACTTAATATTCTGGGACAATGATGACTGTTGAGTTTGTATAGAGATGCCCGTTCACTGTTCTCTATATCGGAGGATGGTAAAGGGTGGATGTACGAATATCCCCCTCATAGCGTGTATGGTTAACAATAGTTTCAGTCTATGCTGCCCTTCTTCTATCAGTGGCCTGGTCCATGCTGGACCAATACTGCCTTTCCCTGTAGTCATTTACAGGGCTTTCTCCCAAACAATGGAGGACTACGACTACATTTTACGAAACAGGACAACACAAATAAATGAAGTAAGGGGAAGAAAGACCAGCCGAAGAAAAGGAGAGAGAAAGAGAAGAGGTCTCATTGTCCATAACAACAGTACTAGTGTTATCTGGCAGGTCCAGGAAAATGCAAAAGCACCCAGAGCCAATTAAGACAGATGCATTAGTTACCTGAGCCGGTCTGCTCCTGCTATTAAAGTCTGTGCTACTACGGAAGATGCTATTTCTGACCTCTTGGCGCGTGTTGTGCGTGCGTGCATGCATGTGTGTGTGCGGCAGTTTGTGAATATCTAGAGCTGCAGTTATTTACAGATTATCAAAGGCTCACTTCATGCAATGGAATGTACTTTACACAAAAACAACCAGCAAAGGACATGTCCAGTCAGGGCCTAAATTCATAAAGAGTCCTGATCTAGTAATAAAGAGTCCTGTCAATGTAATCTTATTTTGATCTGTATTGAAGGTGGTCCCTATACCATAGATATAAACCCCCCATTAGTTTGATCTCTATGGTCTCTACCTTGCGCAGGTTCCCCTTGGAGTCCCCCAGGAAGGCGATGGTATGTCCCACCCTCACGCTGACAGCCACTGCGGTGAGACGGGCGGACGGGCTGTCCAATATGGGCTCGGTTTCCACCGGCACCCGGCTGGCCATTGGACTGGGGGTGTGGTCCGAACCACAGGGGTAGGCATCCAGGGTGTTCTATAGGTCAGGAGGGAAGGAATATGCAAATGAATGTAGTTTAGAGATGTATGAGGAAGTAGGTACAATTCATAAACTTTTGATGAATCATGTATCTATAATGAAACAAATTGGGTTACAGTCAGACAACAACTAGTCTAAATACTGATGTATTTGCTCTTCAAAAAGCATGACTAAGGTCAAATGCACAGATACGCAGCGGCAACTCATTTGCTAGTATTATTAATTGCGAGGAAGATAAGACAGGTGCTAAAAGTCTATAGTGGCTCCCTCGTATCCTATACGAACACGGAGTCACAATTTATAGTGGTAGGGTTAGAGGTGAGGGGGAAACTATTGCAGGAATCCGGCGAACGGTGTCCAAAGTGCTTTAAATAATTGTTTTGCTTCGACCCTTTGGCAGTGGAAGATCTATGGTTGGACCTGTTGTTCTGAGTACAACAATCTGTTTTGACAATCTCGCAACGTTTTGACAATCTCCCAAACACAAACGCATTCACGGAATTTCATTATGGCAAGATAAATATGACCAGTTTACGCATTCCTGCCCCCCCCCAAAAAAAGAGTAGCAACAACAGGAGGTACAATAAATAAACATTGGGATCTACCACTGTTGATAGCGGCTTGTTTTGATGGTTTCCTATGGTGTTGTTCCTATTTGTTACAGAGACTTAGCCCAGCACTACCCGCATCACCCCATACCCCTATCTCCCTCCCTCTCCCTCACGCACGCACACCCCATCTCTCTCTTCCTCCCCCTCGCTCTCCTTCCCTGTCCACTTCACTGTTGCCATCTCCCTCCTTCGCTTCTCGGCGATGGGTGACTTTATCCGTCCTTGTCAGTCCTCGTTAAACATGGCCCTCCCGCTAATGAAGGCTAATGCCGCCGATCGAATTCCCCCCGTAAAACCCTATTAAATTACCCTGTATACGTCCCAAATGGCACCCTGTGTTCTGTGTAGTGTACTATACAGGGAATAGGGTGTCATTCGGGACACACTGCACCACCACACTACTACTATTTCCTGACCCTCACTGAGGTAAACAGCATTCAGGGGTCAGAGTTTAACAATTGTTCTGTTTGTGATGTATCATTAAACACATTGTGGCTCAGTGACCAACTATAGTTGGAGTGGTAGTCGCACGCAAAGGTACACACACACACACACACACGTATACAGCACACAGACACAGATACACACACACACCAAAACAACAGGGGGATTTCCAAAGCTACAGTGGCATTACGAGAAAATAATCAAATTTAATTCCCCAAATCGGAGGATTACATTTGTCTGTACTAAAAGAACAAATTAAATGTAATTGAATTTCTAACAGAGGTCACGTTGCCGAAACCGAATTAACCTGGAAAGCATGTGATCTAGTAGCATACTCAATAGTAGACTTACAGTAAATCTAAAAGACATTCTGACTTTGTAAAAAACAACATCTTAATGAGCACATGTAGAAGAAACCCAGTTACACTCTATTTGACCATCCCCTATTTGCCTTCTAAGTACATAAAACATGGTCACAGCATACATGTTACATTATTATCACTTAATAATATTCTAATACTACCACTAGGTTTTCAAATAAGGACCAAAACGTATCAATTGCATGCCATGTCATTTCCTAATACATACCAGCTGAACAGAACTATTAAATAAAGCATTACCAGACACAATAAAACGAGGATCAGACTGCTTACTATCTGGCACCAAATGGTTACAAATTGTTGGATTTTTGGCAAGGGGCACCGGAAAGTACCCATTGTTGCCCCACGATTTCCTCATACTAGGTAGCCTAAATATCAGCAATAAAAGGATTGTAAACTAAAGTGCTTCCAGAGACACAATACAATAAGGAATTGGCGAGCAGACCTGGGTTCTAATACTATATGAAATCATTTCAAATACTTTAGCGGGGCTTGATTGAGCTTGTCTGGCACTATGGAACGAATGGAATAGTCCAAAATGCCAAACCCCGTCCATCTGAGACTCAAGACAGGCTAAAGCGAACGCTAAAAGGTTTGGAAAGATTACAAACACTATTTGAACCCAGGATTGAATCAAATAAGGATCTGGCAAGTCAATCAACTCAACCCCACTCCTACTCACCGACGGCAGGTTGGCGCAGTTGGATTTGACCTCGTACTCGATGTAGGCCGCCTCCCCCCCTCCCTCGCCCCGGCCGAACTGTGTGTAACACAGGTCCCTGGTAGAGTTGATCCTCTGGTCCAAATCGTCAAGATTGAACATGCAGAGAGCAGAGTCCTCACTGGGTCGCGTGGACGAGGCCTGCCGGGTGGAGAACACCCCCAGGAGCACCTCTGCCTGCCCAGCTTCCCCCCCACTCTCCTTTGGTGGTAGACCAAGGCGGATAGCCTGGAGCAGGTTGTAGCTCTTACCGGCCGCCGAGCGACAGGCCAGGGGCACTTCCACATACGAGTAGTAGGCCTGGTCGTCCAGGCACACACGTGACACGTAGGTGCGGTACTCGCGCGACTGCGACTTGAGGTCACGGCGGTAGAACAGGAAGTATACGTGTTGGCGGTGGGCGAAGGACGCCACGAAGTGGTGGTCGTACTCCGAGAGGCGGCCCGCCACCGCTAGCTTCGCCGTTTCCTCGTAGGAGAAGATGGGCTCCTGGGCCAGGTTGCGAGTGGAGATGGGTGGGTGGCTGCTGGTGTAGCCACGGCCCACGAAGAGCACGGGCTGGCGGTCGGGGCGGGAGCGCACCACCAGGCCCACCGTGCTCACGTTGGGGTGGTTGGCAGCCACGTACTGTGTGTCCACAGGCCGCTCGGCCGAGAACAGCACCGTACCAACCGAGTCCAGACTCCGCTTCTGGCAGATGCCCTGGTTGACGCTGCCGCAAGTGATCAGTTCCATGGAGTAGGGGTCCACCAGCAGGAGTTTGTTGTGGTTGCTGGTGCGCCGCGCTTGCGGGCAGTTGCTCTCGGTGACGGGGGGCAGGCACTCGCGGCTGTCCGTCACGGGCCCAGTGTTGTCCTGGAGCTCGGCGTTCAGGTGGCGGTCCAGCTGGAAGAGGTGGTCCCGCGCCCCCACGTAGATGCGCCCCACCGCGGGGTCCGGGTGCAGGGCCAGGTGCTCGAAGAGGGTGTCTGTGCGGGTGAAGGTGGGGTAAGGGGAGTAGAGGGTGGAGGAGGGGTCAGAAGCCCAGGCCAGGCCATAGGAGGGCCAGCTGGCGGCTAGCAGCAGCAGCAGCGACAGTACTGGGACCGCCGCTGGGACTGAGAAACCACGTCGCGCCATCCCCGGAGGCATGGCAACCAATCTGGCAACCCAGGAGAGAAAGAGAGGGATTCACACAATATTTATAACCATAGATCCGTATATACAGTACATAGACAAGATTCACAACATTTCTAAACCCCTTGTACACTACACATTTACATTGTTGTGATGTGTGTTTTGTCCTATATTTTTTATTTTTTATCCCAGCCCCCATCCCCGCAGGAGGCCTTTTGCCTTTTGGTAGGACATCATTGTAAATACGAATTTGTTCTTAACTGACTTACCTAGTTAAATAAAGGTTAAATAAAATAATAAAAAATAAAAAGACCCTGTACAAACTGATAAACTACAACTTATACCTCTATTTGACTAATGAATAGGATAGCTTTTCCTCACCATTTGTTTCCAACAATGTGTTACAGAGGCATGTCACCTCTTGACCTCCCAGCAGCTTGGTTTGGTTAAAAACACCTCCTCTACGGCTCCAATCTGCAAGACAATGGGAAACAAAGACAAATGGTTAACATCTCTGTAAACCAAGGGACACCAGTTCAAGTGTATATAAAGATTTCCACTTTCCTCAACACCTCAAGTGTTGGCAACAAGTACTAGCAGCAACAAGTGTTACCCCAAACCTAGAGTTAGCATGTTTCTTACTGAACAAATCCCTTCAAATCCTAACTCATAAACCACAAGTCTATGCAAAAATAAGAAGTAATTTAATCCTGCGCCAGAGGATACACGTGACCGGACAGGTTCGGAAGCAGGGTTCAAACCCAGGTCTCCTGCACTCCATAAGAATGAATTATCCCCCTGAGCGATACTGTGTTTGGTTGCGCACTGTGAGTTGTCTTGATCGCACCTTTGACAAAATGGAGCTCAATGGAGCTCATTCCCATTGAAATTCCAGTCAGACCTGCCTTTTCCCAACAACATCCGTTTTCACTGGCCTGGGAAGCCGTTCTTATCAAAAGCCAGGTCAAGCAGTGTCACTCATAGAGAGCTTTCAGTACCACACACACACACTCATTGCTCCAAGCCCTCCCCATTGCTAGGCTACCAGGCAAAAACACTTCACTTCAGCACAGTCACTAACACCCCTGGACACTTTAACCACAGTCATCCCTGGCACCAACATACTGAGTGAGTCACTGGCACGGAAGTGGGATTATCCCCTGCTAGATCAGACGGATCTCTCTCTCTCTCACTCTGTCTGTACTGAGAGGAGTGAGAGAAAGACACACACTGAAATATAAACTATTCACCCCCCCCCCACACACACACCTCATTCCAGACCACTCTGGGGCATTTAGAGAGCCCTCTTTATGAGGAGGGGCAGAGGTTTTATCTGGGAAATAGGGTAAAGGCTTGGCAAGGGGCCAAACTATTAAAGAAAGAGAGAAAACCATTTTTACTCAAGCATAATAATAATGACCAGTTTCTCTATCATTTTGACCTGACATGAATTACATCTCAAGCCGTAAATTTTGCCCTTCCTCTGCAAATGTTTGTTTTTCCGCTTGATAGCCCCGCTCATGTATAAGTAATTACAGTTCTCTGGAAAGTTTAAATCAACTGAAGGCACCAGAGGCAAAGTCGCTCTTTGATTGACGCCTTAGTCGGTGAACATTCAAAACAAGCAATCCAAACATTGAGTCGGGATTCAGAGGGAAGATAGGACACACTGACAAAAAGACCGACTCTCCCCTTTGATCTGGCGAAGGAACAACAAAAACAAATGAAAAGCCAAAAAGGTTTCCTCTGGCTACGAGTTGTCAGGTTGTGAACCCCCTTTCCTGAGCATACCTGGGTTCAAACACTATTTGAAATCATTTAAAATGCTTCAGCCGGGCTCCATTGAGCTTGCCTGGTTCAATGGAACCAATAGAAGTTGCAGAAATGCAAACCACACCCATCTGGCAATCCAGGCAGGCAAAAGCAAACTAAAAGTATCTGAAAGATTTCAAATTAGATAAAAATGACAGAACCATCTTCAATACCAAAATGAGACTATTCATGTGATTCGAAATGCATATAAACAAGGATCATCCAAGACAATCTCTTCACTCTGTCTCAGCCTGATTGCCTCTACAAAAGACTCAACCCTGTATATTAAAGCAAAAATAGGAAAAGGAACTGACTGGGAGACTGGGACAATATATGCACAACACAACATACTGTACTTCTACAAACTCAAGAACATGGAGGGAGTTTTGTTGGAAAAATATGACACGTTTTTATCACTTCAAAAGAACCAAAAGTCAACAGCTAGGTATACAGACATGCTGGCGGCTGTGTGACCATGTAGATGCCAACCACACCCATTTTTGGGGGAATGTCAGAAGATATCATTGTTTTGAGATAACGTGTGCTCAGGGTTAAAAGATGTCCTGGGATATGAAGTCCCTAGAACTTACCCAGTAATGTATCCTGGCAATATTCCACAGAATGTGATGGGAAGTGATAGACACCTGATTAAAGTTTTAAAAAAACATTACCAGGAACTGGTATAAAGTGGAAGCATCAAAATCTAAAGAATGGCAAAGTATAATCCAATAAATCTTTAATATGGAAAACTATTTCCACAATTTGTTGTGTTACAGCCTGAATTTAAAATGGATTAAATTGAGATTTTGTGTCACTGGCCTACACACAATACCCCATAATATCAAAGTGGAATTATGTTTTCAGAACTTTTTTGACATGAATTAAAAACGAAAAAGCTGAAATGTCTTGAGTCAATAGGTATTCAACCCCTTTGTTATGGCAAGCCTAAATAAGTTAAAGAATGTTGCATGGACTCACAGTGCGCAATAATAGTGTTTAACATGATTTTTTAATGACTCTCATCTCTGTACCCCACGCATACAATTATCTGTAAGGTTCCTCAGTTGAGCGGTGAATTTCAAACACAGATTCAACCACAAAGACCAGGAAGGTATTCCAATGACTTGCAAAGAAGGGCACCTATTGGTAGATGGGTAAAAAAAAACCATAAAACATTGAATATCCCTTTGAGCATGATGAAGTTATTAATTCCACTTTGGATGTTGTATCAATATGCCCAGTCACTACAAAGATACAGGCGTCCTTCCTAACTCAGTTGCCGGAGAAGAAGGAAACCACTCATGGGTTTCACCATGAGACAATTTACATTTACATTTCAGTCATTCCTGCAGTCAGCAAGCCAATTGCACGCTCCCTCAAAACGTGAGACATCTGTGGCATTGTGTTGTGTGACAAAACTGCACATTTTAGAGTGGCCTTTTTTTTTTTCACCTTTATTTAACCAGGTAAGCCAGTTGAGAACAGGTTCTCATTTACAACTGCGACCTGGCCAAGATAAAGCAAAGTAGTGCAATAAAAACAACACAGAGTTACATATGGGGTAAAAAACATAAAGTCAGAAATACAACAGAAAATATATATACAGTGTGTGCAAATGTAGCAAGTTATGGAGGTAAGGCAATAAATAGGCTATAGTGCAGAATAATTACAATAGTATTAACACTGGAATGCTAGATGTGCAAGAGATTATGTGCAAATAGAGATACTGGGGTGCAAAAGAGCAAAATAAATAACAATATAGGGATGAGGTAGTTGGGTGGGCTAATTTCAGATGGGCTGTGTACAGGTGCAGTGATCGGTAAGGTGCTCTGACAACTGATGCTTAAAGTTATTGAGGGAGATAAGAGTCTCCAGCTTCAGAGATTTTTGCAATTCGTTCCAGTCATTGGCAGCAGAGAACTGGAAGGAATGGCGGCCAAAGGAGGTGTTGGCTTTGGGAATGACCAGTGAGATATACCTGCTGGAGCGCAGACTACGGGTGGGTGCTGCTATGGTGACCAATGAGCTAAGATAAGGCGGGGATTTGCCTAGCAGTGATTTATAGATGGCCTGGAGCCAGTGGGTTTGACGACGAACATGTAGTGAGGACCAGCCAACAAGAGCGTACAGGTCACAGTGGTGGGTAGTGTATGGGGCTTTGGAGACAAAACGGATGGCACTGTGATAGACTACATCCAATTTGCTGAGTAGAGTGTTGGAGGCTATTTTGTAAATGACATCGCCGAAGTCAAGGATCGGTAGGATAGTCAGTTTTACGAGGGCATGTTTGGCAGCATGAGTGAAGGAGGCTTTGTTGCGAAATAGGAAGCCGATTCTAGATTTAACTTTGGATTGGAGATTCTTTATGTGAGTCTGGAAGTTGAGTTTACAGTCTAACCAGACACCTAGGTATTTGTAGTTGTCCACATACTCTAGGTCAGACCCGTCGAGAGTGGTGATTCTAGTCGGGTGGGCGGGTGCCAGCAGCGTTCGATTGAAAAGCATGCATTTAGTTTTACTAGTGTTTAAGAGCAGTTGGAGGCTACTGAAGGAGTGTTGTATGGCATTGAAGCTCGTTTGGAGGTTTGTTAACACAGTGTCCAATGAAGGGCCAGATGTATACAAAATGGTGTCGTCTGCGTAGAGGTGGATCTGAGAGTCACCAGCAGCAAGAGCGACATCATTGATATACACGGAGAAAAGTGTCGGCCCAAGAATTGAACCCTGTGGCACCCCCATAGAGACTGCCATAGTTGTCCCCAGCACAAGGTGCACCTGTGTAATGATCATGCTGTTTAATCAGCTTCTTGATATGCCACACCTGTCAGCTGGATGGGTTATCTTGGCAAAGGAGAAATGCTCACTAACAGGGATGTAAACAAATGTGTGCACAAAATTGGAGACAAAATAAGCTTTTTGTGCGTACGGAACATTTATGGGATCTTTTATTTCAGCTCCTGAAACATGGGACCAACACTTTACAAGTTTTTGTTCAGTATTAAAACAGCAAAGAATGTGGCAAAGAAATTAACTATGTCCTGAATACAAAGCGTTATGTTTGGGGAAAATCCAACACAACACATCTCTGTGTAACACTCTTCATATTTCTAGGCATGGTGGTGGCTGCATCAAATCAAATCACATCACATTTTATTTGTCACATGCGCCGAATACAACAGGTGTAGACCTCACAGTGAAATGCTTACTTACAAGCCTTTAACCAACAATGCAGTTTTATGGGTATGCTTGTCATCGGCAAGGACTAGGGAGTTTTTTTAGGATAAAAAGAAACGTAATAGAGCTAAGCACAGGCAAAATCCTAGAAGAAAACCTGGTTCAATCTGCTTTCCAACAGACACTGGGAGACAAATTCACCTTTCAGCAGAACAATAACCTAAAACACAAGGCCAGATATACAGTTGAAGTCGGAAGTTTACATACACCTTAGCCAAATACATTTAAACTCAGTTTTTCACAATTCCTGACATTTAATCCTAGTAAAAATTCCCTGTCTTAGGTCAGTTAGGATCACCACTTTATTTTAAGGATGTGAAATGTCAGAATAATAGTAGAGAGAATTATTTATTTCAGCTTTTATTTCTTTCATCACATTCCCAGTGGGTCAGAAGTTTACATACACTCAATTAGTATTTGGTAGCATT